AGAACCTCGCTTAACGAGCATAATTCGTTCCAGAATCTTACTCATAATGCGAAACACTCATTAAGTGAAACAATTTTTCCCATATAAATTAATGTAAAATACGATAATGCGTTCCATGCCGAAAGAAATACTCAAAAAAATTTATGTATAACGTTTATTCAAAGAAAATTATATATACATTGTTAAGGAGTGTGAATCATCTTCATCTTTTCCTCTATGTGGAATGAACCAACATGGAATGCGAATTCGATTTTCAGAAAACAAAAAAAAAATCAAAATAAGTAGTTTATTATTTCTGATACATATCTAATTCTTTTTTACTAGAAAGCTGTCTAGAGACATTTGAGTCCATGATTTATTTAAACCGTCTTTTAGTGCATACACTCATTTATCTCCTTCTCTCCCTCGCACTACATGTTTCGGCATAATAATGCCATCTTCAGGTGCTTACTTATCCACGTCAAACTAGTTCATTGTATGCCTTGTTCTCATATTAAAATAACTAAAATATGTATCTATCATATACATTGTCAAACGTATGTATGTATACAAATAATATGTCTGAACACAAGTTTGGAAAAATGTGTGATCACAAGCAACACTAAGATGCTAGCGGATCGAGTGCTAAACACAGGCTGATGTAGCATGCACACAATCTGGGACTTTCCCTCTCGTCACTCGTTAAGCGAGTCATTTTTTTTACAATTTGTTTTGCTCGTTATGAGAGGTGCTCATTAAGCGAGGTTCCACTGTATTTCAATGGAATTAGAAGTCTTTTCATTTACTAAAACAGTTGATTTCATCATTTCGTTGAGGTTAGTCAGAGCATCAAAACGATTGTTAATTCACAAGGATATTTTACTGTAGTCCTTTATCGTATCCATCTTCTCCTTATGTTGATTCATTTGCTCCTGAGTCCTATTTCTTTCTCCTTGCAGTATATCGAGTTCAAAACCTTTGTTGTATTCTATGGTTGAGGTTTTCTTATCATCCTTCTTATCCTCCATATTGGTAACACCAAGCTCTTCTTTTAGATTACCAGTGATTTCAATCACAGATTCGAGTTCAGATGTAATACTATTCAATTCTAATTTCAGCCTTGCACAACTCTGACATTCTTTTTCATTAATACCACAGCTTGTTTTATAATATCTGGACCACCACTTGAACTCTCACCTGCACTATTCGCCATCTTGAACCACTCCATACTTGGAATATGAGAAATATTTCCACTTTTTTATTGCAGATTTACTGAATATTTAAACTTGTGATCGAGAAATAGATTTTCATGGGTAGGTTCCACATTCAATATTCCTATGGGAAGTGAGTTAGTATATCTGAACATTCATGTTATGGCAAAGAAGGTAAATTCTGGTATGCATATTTCAACTGAATATTCTTTAATTCACATTGATTCAGAAATTAATCATCTAATGTTCATTTGTTCAGTACACTGGCATTCTGCTTTCATCTCAATGATAGTGAATGTTGTTTTTACATCAAATGTTGTCTTCATAAAGAGGAATACAATACAAGTATTCACTGTTATATAATTTGAAGGATTTCAATTTGTGAAACAACCTTCTGTAAATTAAAGGTGTATACAGAGTATGAAGGACAGAACTCCCTGGAGGAATATTGGTTTACTTGCCCTAAAAAATTATCAGTTTCAAGGTTGGGGGGGGGGGAACATGCTGGCTAATAATGGTACAGTCAACTCTCGATTATCCGGGATAATGGTTGACATGGAAATCACAATTAATCGAAAACCCGGTTAAGTCAAATGTTATTAAAAGTAGTACTGTAATACTGTACCTTCATAATATTATAGGCCTACCTGTATTTAAATTTACTCAGCCTCATTTTTATGTGATCTCATGGCCAATTTAATACTTTTTTTACATTACACTGAAGTGTGAATTAGTTATTTCACAGTCACAATGTTCAACAACATCCAACACTTTTTACAAATATTCACACTTATCACTTAAAAAAATTAATATTGTCGTTTGCTTTTTCGCGTCATTTTCCTTTTTACGGATATCTGTACAAAGCCTACGTAATATTAGCTTGTCACTTAATAAACTGTTCTCTTCACTCTCAAGATAGTCTAGTAAGGCTTCCAAATAACGTTCCCACCTCATGACTCAAGGTACGCGGGTTCAAACCCAGCGGAGGTCGTGGAATTTTTAAGGGCAGAAAAATTCAGGGAACAAGTCCTCCGGGAGGGACTTTAAGCCGTGGGTCCGTGTCGTAGATTTACGGCACGTAAAAGAACCTCATGTCTCTAGGAGACCTCTGAGCTAAATTAGGCAAGTTTCCCGCCCAAGTAGTTTCCAATGCCTCCGGTAGATGGGGGGAGCTTAGGTACCACTGCCAGAGGAGGGACGACCTCACTGACAGAAAGGGACTAACTATCAGATACCACTGCCAGTAGAAGGCCGAAACTTCACTGGCAGAAAGGGAATGATAGCAAGCACCAGTACCAGTATGGTATGGAGACAGTAGAAATTCAAAGGTGGACGCACAATAGGTCAAACTGGTCGCGGTGCATGGGGTAATCCACCCCCTCAATACTGAATAACTGAAGGCTTCCAAATGATTAAGAGCAGCACCATGTGATATTTTCTTACTAGCACCATGTGATATTTTCTTACTAGCAGCACTGTGATATTTTCTTACTAGCAGCACTGTCCACCTCTTCCTCATTCTCACTTTCTTCCCGCTCTTCTGGCTGCACCCCCACTGAACTTAAGGTTTCGTCACTGCTTAACATTTCGAAGCCCGGCTCACACGAGTTTCTGTTGAATACTTAACACAGCACGCTTCCTTTTACACCCTGACATTTTGCTAACACACTTGAAGATCGATACAAAGAGACCAACTGGGCGGTGTATCTGTCCTTGAAACTTTCCACAAATCCTTGCATTCTTTCACCCCTACCCTAGAACATTGTGTTAGCATAACGGGACAAAAAAATGCAGAGCTCGGTTCACACTAGTGCGAAAATAGTGTTACAACTCACAATGTAATACAGAAGTGAATGAATATTAAACAACATATAAGCCTCAAAAAAGCCCCAGTTAAGCCGCAAACCGATTTATCTGCCCCCAGATAATTGAGAGTTGACTGTATCTTAATGCTGAATGTTACTAACACCAAAGCCCACCATTGTGCACAACAATAAAAATAAACCAGTTGAACTGCTCACATTGGTGTCATTCAAGAGGTGCAACATGTTTCAGTCCACATTTGGAATCATCTTCAGGCAGTCACATCAAATTCTACCCTTGTTATTGAACTGTGCCAATATGGATCCATATTAGTGCTATTCATCACAGTCATATAATACATGCAACCATCACAAAGTTGCAAGAAATTTTCTAATTTTCAACATTTGGAATTTAAAATTATATAAAAATTCTCATTAAATGTAAAATTTTATGTCCTGCATTGTACATTGGGGTTCATTGTTATACTATAAGTTATAGAAGCTTTTTACAATAATGTTATTATTTTTTAGTTATTCTCTTGTATATGTCACTGTGGTTTTGTTTTTTTCACTTAGGTTGTATTGTGTATTCCTTCTGTGTTGGTGTTTGTGTCATATCTGTTCCTGGTTACAATGTAGACTATTGAATAAATGCAATGTGAGCAGTTCAGTTGGTTTATTTTTATTGTTGTGTTGATGGCCAAATACCACCAATCAGGATACACAACAGGATTCAAACAGTGAAGACAACACAGAGCCACTTCAGTCCACAATCTATATTCCTAAGATCCAGTTTAACATTATCTTTCAATTCCTTATTGGTCTTACACATGACTACTTTACAAAAGGTATCTGAACCAAAATTATGCATTAACTTTGTATTTCCCAACCAAGCCACATAGTAAGTTCATTCCTTTTGAATTCCCAGAGAATACTGGGCAGATCCTCAATATGCATTTTCTCTATTGTCTATATGCTTCATTGCTCAAGTACAAAATGTATATTTAGACCATTTACTTGGATAATGAACATTTCTTTTGTGGTTGTTTCTTAAGTCAATATATCAGGGCTATTCAAATAGTCGGCAAATGTGTATCGTGATACACCTTTCTGGGACAACAGTACAAGGAACTGAAATGAGGGATAACATTATTTATGTACATTTGCACAGTATGAAATGTACTTTCTGTGATGGTTCACGCTTATAGCTAGATGTTTTCTCTGTAATAGAAATAAATAGCCAGTTTTAGATTTGGAACATTGGCATGTATATCCCCAGAGTGCAGTGCATGCATGCCATTTATCTGATAATTGTATTAGCCGTTTTGCTCACTCTTTATTTTTTTGTTATGGATCAAATGGTTCCAGAAGGCAGAAAAAGCCACTGTGTTATGGATGGAACTGTTCCATGTAAGGTAGTAACAAGCCATGTATTCAAGGGATAATGTTAGGGCTTAGGTGTGAGGGAAAACAGAAGTTTAGACTTGGGATTTTATGAGAAATGCCTGTAACTTTCTGATTGTGACTACCACATTTCACTGGTGCCAAAAAACTTACAAAATATGCAGAAATATTTTTGCTAATGTGGAGGGTTTGTATTGGCATTATAGTAAGTTCACAGGAATTTAATGGACTACAGTAAGGGATAAAAGTAAAGCTGTGTAAACATACTTTCATAATGTTACCAAATAATTAGAATGTACAAATGTACAGTGCTAATTCGGTGATTTATTTCTACTACAGGGAAAATATCTAGTCGGAACTGGGACACCACCTGTGGAAATACATTTATTAGCTGTGCAAATGCAGACACATAATGTGAACCTATATACATTTCAAAACACTGTGATAAGAATGTTAGATCTGAGGTTCTTAATGCCAGTGACTGTGAACAGTACTATCATCTGGGAAGTACTGTTATGTTTCAGAAGATACTACTATTCATATTAATAAGATATTATTCAGCAAGTATAAAAAAGAAAATGCAGATAAATAATGTGATCTAACACACATTTCAAAACATTTTAATAAGAAATTACTGAACAAGTATAAAACAAAATACAAACATAACAAAGTAGTGTGAATGTGACTGTGTTTAAACATAATTTGTTTGTGACAGACTGAAGTTACTGTTGTTGACTAGTGATGGTAATCATCAGCTGGCTGTTTAACCCAAAATCCATGAGGTGCGAAATGATCATGGTGGCCATGAGCTGAGGGTCCACGGTAAACTTTGATCTGTACTCTTCCATAGTGACCTACAGAATAATAAAAAGTTCTGTATTAACAATAAAATACACATATTAATATGACAGATTTTCTGCCATCAAACTAATTAAGCTGGTGGGGAATTTTCTACTAGTGATCTTCCTGACAAATAAAGGCTAGTTTTCAGTTGCATATATATATGTGTGTGTGTGTGTGTGCATATTATTTATTTTCAAAACTTTATGGTTAATGAAGGAGCCAGGATAGCATAGTCGGTATAGTGACTGGCTATGGGCTGGAAGACCAAGGGGTTGGAGTTCCGAGTCCCGGTAGGGTCAAGAATTTTCTCTTCTCCACGTCATCCAGACTGGCGCTGGGGTTCACCCAACCTCTTATCCATTGGGGGGGTTAAGTGACTGGGAGTGAAGTTGACCCCTCACCTCCAGCTAGTGCCGATTTCAAGAAAATGTGGATCTATATAGCCACTTCCCCATACACCTTCATGGTGTAGTGCTTAATTCATTGAACACAGAGACAGCTCTACCTTACATTACCTTTATGCTTAATGTCTTGGGTACAGTCTCTTTCTTGTATTTGTACAATTTTTATGAATGACAATTGTTTCACAGCCTGTAGCACTGGAATTGGTAGCAAACTCATTTTATAATGCCTGTTTTGTTATAATTATGAGTCCTACCTGTGCATTGCCAATTAATCTTATTTTCAGAAATCTGAAGGATTTTTTTACTATTAGTAACTCATAATTATTTGTTTATTGTGGATCTCTTATTTAATATAACTGTTCTTAAATGACACGTTTCTGACTTTTTATTTATGTAATCTAAGGTCTTAACTATTTATATTTTATACTGTTGTAATGTTCCATGTAAACAACTTTTGTAATTGGTCTGTATGTACTAAGGAGGACAAGTTCTGTATTCATCTTGTGGATGTCTGGAATACTGAATAAATACCAATACGAGAGGATGAAAATGAGATAGGAATGAAGGAATAGTAAACAATAAATACCATGTCCTGTGGCTGCAGCTTGCAGGTCGCTGGCTGGAAGAACTGTCCTAGGCACAAAGGCAGATTCTTCAACTTGTTGATCTCCTACTAATGGAATCAGCTGAAGCCTATGACGATATGGAACTGCTGCACTTAGAGCAATGCAAAATGTTCCTACTAATAGGCAGAAACTTACCTGTAAGCAGTTAAAAGATATTTTCATTACTAAGTTGTACAATTCTTTTGTATATTCAATCCCAGAAAAATTACTTAAAGTCTTACCACTTGAGTCATGGTGATCCCTGATGTTCTCCTTGAAAATGAATGCAATATCACTGGATGTTTGTGCATTTATATACCCCACAAGCTTCTATACTGACCATTAGGAGATGGCACAGGAAAGCAATTCCTTGCATACAACAGAGAAAAAGCAGCTTCGCTAACTGGTAACAGCTGCAAGGAGATATCAGAACATAAAAAAAAATCCCAAGCTCTTAAGCAATGTTATTCCAGTGCAAGAATTACAACAGTTTTTACTATCTTTTATTGTAAACCATTTGTTTCCCACTGTAGAAAGTGAAACTGAATTCAGACTATACTAACAAAAAAAGTCACAGGTACTGGTGAAAGTTAAATCACTGAGCTGGATCACTTCTTGGCAGAAAAAGTTTTCTCATAAAGCAAACAAGTAAATTGTGTAATGGATGAGTAAACATTGCCAGCTAGGTATAAGTTAATTTTCACCAAAGCAGTACCTCCACAATTCATATTGTAATGATACCATACTTTCCTTCTGAGAAGAGGTCATGGAACTATCTTACACAAAGCTTACTGTCCTGCGGGATGTTACAAGGTATAGTGTGGTAGATATTTATTGACATTTTTGAACAACATGCTGCCTCCAAACACCCAACCTACTAATCACTTAGTCACCAGTGTAAACCTCAAATCTTATATATATATATATAAATTTCCTTCAGCTGGTACCTACTGTTACAATAGCTTCATTGAGTTGTAAGTTATTCTATCATGCTGTTTCAAATGCTGAGGTGTATGCGGTCTTAAATGAGAAGCATTGCTGTTAAGGGCTGAATTCAGAGAGACCCAGTTGAAGTGGCCAAAGAATATTTTAACGCTCATCTGCACCATTTACATTCACTCTTCTTCATTATATAAAATCAGAATTAAATGGTTTTACATACTGTATTTATTCATCAGAATAAAAATTAATTACATAATGATTAAAGAGGTTTACAAATCTATTTAGCTTCAAAGAGAAACAAATTCAGAAAGCGAAAGTAATGCTGACATTGAGAGGAAAAAAAAATACTGTGATACAACAGTTCAAAGCCAGAATAGTGAACCCAGAAAACATCCATTGCTAGGCAACAAAAACACACTTCCACGTCAGCAGTACCTTGGAATTCGCTAGGCAATATTCTGCTTAACACGTCAGTCAACAATGCAGGAATTACTGGAAGTGGTGTTCTCTGTTCAGTCCACAATGAGGCTATATATTGAGAAAGTCTGGTCAACTTGACAAAAGGCCAAGAATATTCATAAGAGGAAATCCCATCTTCTCATCAGGGAGTGTGTTTCATAAGGACTACAACCACAGGAGGTCGGTTAAAAACGAAATCTCTGGTTGTGACCCTGAAGGGGCTTAGTGCCATGAGAAACTGATTGGCATTAAACTGACAGTCATAATGTGATTCTGAATTTTGACATGACTTGTGGGACTGTGACAATATACATTTAAAGGCTCAGATCCAAGCCCTGATGGCTACCGTTGATGAAGGCATCCCAGTTAACTTCTGGCTCTGTGACATCTGAAAAGAAATGCAACCCTTGAAATTATGAAAGGCCTGTGGTTCTGATGGCAATCAAAATGAATGTCTCCAACATCTTCCAAGAAGACTTCTTGTACTTTTAACACATTTATTCAATCTCTACCCTTGAAAGAGCTTGGGGAACTATAGAGAGAATATCAAAATTTCAGCCAAAGAGAGTCTAGGTTGTTATAAACTGAAGAAGCATAAGCCATAGTTCGATGAAGGATGCTCAGAATTATTATGCCAGAGGAAACAAGTCAAACTGTGCTGGTTGAAGGATCAGAGCAAAATAAATGGGGTTAATCTGAACAATATAAGACGTGAAACCAGCAGCAGGCATTTCAGGAATAAAAAGAGGGAATATATGAAAGACAGAATTGATGAACTTGCAACAGACAGGAAGAACAAGAGTGTTAGAGACCTGTATAAAGGAATAAAACACTTTAAGAGGGTTCACCAACCTAGAACTAACTTAGTGAAGGATGAGAATGGTGATATGCTTTAAGATTCCCACATTTTCACTAGGTGGAAGAACTACTTATCTCAGTTTTTGAATGTACATAGGGTCAATGATGTTAGGCAGAAAGAAATACATACAGCTGAGCCGTTAGTACTTTATCCTAGCCCTCTTGAGGTGAAATTGCTACTGCAAAGTTGAAAAGGTATAAATTGCCAGGTAGTGATCAAATTCCATCAGAACTGATTCAAACAGTAGGTGAAATATTATGTTATAAGATCCATAGACTAATTACTTCTATTTTGAATCAGGAAAAATTCCCTGATCAGTGATAGGAGAATATTATTGTACCAGTTCACAACAAGGGTGATAAAACTGACTATAGTCAATTATCAGGGGCACGCGGTAGCATAGTTGGTTGAGGCACTGTGCTACATGCAGGAAGGTTGCAGGTTCAAGTCCCGATGAGGTCATTTGATTTTTTCAATTGACCTAATCCTTCCAGCTGCACTATGGTCCTGGGGTAGACTCAGCCTCTTAATAGAAATGAGTACCAGGAATATTCTTGGGATTAAAGGGTGGCCGGCGCATAGGGCTGACAACCTTGCCTACAAGTCAGTTACATAGGAATTATTGCACTATATTCTTATGGAGTTTGGGGTACCCATGAAACTAGTTTGGCTGCTTAAATTGTGTTTAAACGAAGTATACTAAGTCCATATAGGTAAATAATTTGTCGGATAATTTTCCTATGCAAAATGGTCAATAACAAGGAGATAATTTATCACTAATGCTTTCAACCTGTTTTAGAACATACCATTACGAAGGTCCAGCAAAACCAGGTGGGACTAAAATAAAATGGGACATATCAGCTGCTGGTGTATGCTGATGATGTGACTGTGCTGGAGGATAACTGAGATACCATAAAGAAAAAAACAGAGGAAACTAAGTGTCTTGTTCCTGTCTTGTCACTACAATGCAGGGCAAAATCATGACATGGAGACAGTTAACAGATGTTTTGAAAATGTGGTACAGTTAAAATAATTTGGAATGACAGTAACAGATCAAAACTTGATTCAGGAGGCAATTAAGAGCAGACTGAATTTGGGTAATGCTTGTTACAGTTCAGTCCAGAACCTTTTGTCTTCTCGTCTGCTGTCTAGAAACATAAGAATTACAATATACAAAAGTATAATTTTGCCTGTGGTTTTGTATGGGCGTAAAACTTTGTCTCTGACATTAAGGCAGGAACACAGACTGAGGGCGTTTGAGAACAGGGTGCTGAGGAGATACTTGGATTGAAGAGAGATGAAGTCATGTGAGGTCAGAGAAAACTGCATAATGAAGAATTTCATAACTTGTACTCTTCTTAGTGAGAGAGAGAGGGGATGGTATGGATTGCATTGATCTGGCTCAGGACAGGGTCCAGTGGAAGGCTCTTGTGAACATGGTAATGAACTTTCAGGTTCCATAAAATGCTGGGTAGTTCATGAGTAACTGCCCAATTGGGGCTTCTCAAGAAGGGCTCAGCTGCATGAGTGAATTACTACCATCAGCTTGGTCACTTCCTGGCTCCTTGGAAGGAGGCAAAAATCAAAATCTACCAAAATTAAGCAAAGACCCAAAATTTACGTCCAACTGGCCTCTTGTCAACTACAGGCAAAGTGAGAAGCTGATTTTAAGAACAATCCAAAAACATTATGAAGAAAGAAACTTACTAATGCAAATCAATATTTCGATGTATAAGGTGGCAGATCACTTCACCATAATTTCAACAATAATGCCCTTCCAAATAAAGGACTGGCGGATTTTGTGTTAGTCTTACGCACACCTAAATGACCGCCAAGAGGAGACTCGTGAAAATAGCTGTAAAGAGAAGGTACAAGAACCTGTGGGACTACTATCTTAGACTGCCGGTCATAACGCGCCTTGCAGTGAAGGACTCCCTTCTTCTGAACTCAGCCTCTCTATAATGGCATTTAATTCTGGATCAGAGCGCTGATGAATACCGATATCTTCGAATAGGATAGGAAACTCAAGAAGAACCGGTGCAACTACAAGTTCAGCTTGGTCATCATACATGCGTGACAGGGCATCGGCAATGACATTCTGTGTGCCACGAATGTGGTAAGCCTGAAACTTAAATGATGACAGTCATACGACCCAACGACCTATTCTTCCTAATTGACGTGGATGTGAGAGGCACTGCGTAAGAGCTTGATTGTCAGTCTCTAAATCAAACTCGACGTGTTCCAAATATGGGCGAAATTTTTCCAGACCAAAAAGCACGGCAAGAAACTCTTAACTCGTATGCCGAAAACTTCCTCTCCTGTAGAGACAACGTCCGGGAAGCGAATGCTATTGGTTGGCGTTCCCCCTCATAATCCTGCAATAGAACTGCAGCAACCGCAAGGGAACTGGCATCAGTCTGCAGGATAAACCTACGAGAGAAATCGGCCATGCGTAGAAGCGGAGGATTGGTGATGGTAAGTTTCAAATCCTGAAACGCCTGTTGCTGTTCCGACCCCCAAACAAACGGAGTATCCTTCTTACGAAGGAGGTTAAGAGGGGCGGCGCGTTCCGCAAAGTGTGGAATGAACTTATGAAAAATATTTACCATTCCTATGAATCGCGCGATTCCTTTAACATCACGCGGAGGTGGGAAATCCCTAATGGACTTAGTCCTATCAGGGTCCACAGAGACACCTGAAGGGGCAATGATGTGACCCAGGAATGATAACTGAGTTGTAGCAAAATTAACCTTACTAGGATTTACGGTCAATCCGGCCTTGCGCACCCTGGTAAAAACTTCACGCAAGTGGTGGAGATGCTCGTCAAAAGAATCACTATAGATCACCAAGTCATCCAAATAATGGAAGACATATTTAAACTTGATGTCAGAGAACACTTGATCCAACAAGCGCGTAAGAACTTGAGCGCCTGTTGCTTTGCCAAAGGGAACCCTAATATACTCATACAAGTTCCAGTCAGTCGCGAACGCCGTGAGAGGCTTCGAACGCTCGGTCAATGGAATTTGATGGTAAGCAGAGTNATTTACCATTCCTATAAATCGCGCGATTCCTTTAACATCACGCGGAGGTGGGAAATCCCTAATAGACTTCGTCCTATCAGGGTCCACAGAGACACCTGAAGGGGCAATGATGTGACCCAGGAAAGTTAACTGAGTTGTAGCAAAATTAACCTTACTAGGATTTACGGTCAATCCGGCCTTGCGCACCCTGGTAAAGACTTCACGCAAGTGGTGGAGATGCTCGTCAAAAGAATCACTATAGATCACCAAGTCATCCAAATAATGGAAGACATATTTAAATTTGATGTCAGAGAACACTTGATCCAACAAGCGCGTAAGAACTTGAGCGCCTGTTGCTATGCCAAAGGGAACCCTAGTATACTCATACAAGTTCCAGTCAGTCGCGAACGCCGTGAGGGGCTTCGATCGCTCGGTCAATGGAATTTGATGGTAAGCAGAGTTGAGATCCAGCGAAGTAAACACTTTAGCTGACTTGAACCAATGGAAGCAGGAATGAACATCTGGCAAGGGAACTGACTCATTCTTAATCTTCTTGTTGAGCGCGCGGTAATCAACCACAGGACGAAATTCGCCCTCGCCTTTCGGTACTAGGAATATAGGGCTAGAATATGCAGATGTG